ACAGGCAGGTAAAAGCGACATCCCATCTGGAATAGATATAAAGCCTAGAGATAAGCAGCTACCTTGGGAGCCTGAAACCCTGTGTGGAGGATGGTAACATCGGAGTAGGCGGGGCAGCACTGAAGCCAGCCGGCACTGCTGACCTCCGTGCTCACTGTTTCCTAGGAAACCAAACCCTTGCTTTCCCCAGTGTTACTAGGATTTCTGACAATCCAGGCAAAGGAATCCTAACATCTTTATCAGATTCTAATTCCAGGGCAATGAACATGGCTTGTGGTGGCCACTCTGTTTCTATACAACTTTAGGGAGGTCCTTGGGGTTTCCAATAAGCACAGGCTGCCTAATTCTTACTTGCAGCACCCAGCCTGGTGCTGTAAGGGGCAATGGCCATTCCCGGGTATTATGTCTGCTGAGCTGGCTTGGTTTTACAACTTGGAATTTTGCTAGCAAACAAAAGTGCTTTATGTCAGAGGGCTAAGGACCACAATGGGACCTTTCTGCTTCGATTATGAAAACACATTAAGAGCTGAGCTGCCCCAAAAGCCGTGGCCAGGAGCCTCAACCCCCTGACCCCATACCCTGGAAGGTCTCCAGAGCCACTCAGGAAGAAGCACTGAGAAAGACGCTGTGCTGCAGCAGACACCAGGCTTAAAGAGACACGCACTCAGGTCAGCACTGCACTGCAGTGAAGCAGCTGGGCCCACACTGCCCTGAGACCCTCTTCTCCATCTCTGCAGCTCTCACGTCTGCTACAAGCCAGTCTCGTGCCCCACCTGCTGACACAGACACAGGCAGCACACACGCTTCAGTGTTTCAAAGTTCAGGAACATCTGGAAAGCCAATGTGTCCTCCAAGGAGCTCAGAGGAGAGATGGAACAGTGGGCAGAGATCCCCTGGAGCCCTGACAGATCCTTCATTAAACAGGGATCTTTTCACCTGTGCATACAAGGCTGCTGTGAAATCAGAACAAGGAGGTGATCCTGTTGCCAGGGGTGCCAAATAGTATGTGTGAATAAGCCCACATATATGCACTTAAGATCACACACACACACACACACACACACACACACACACACACACACACACACGCACATTCACCAGGACATGTCTGATAATGATCACAGTGGCATTCTGGGTAGCAGCTTAGAACTAAACAAACCAATCATTCATCAGCAAAAAAAAAAAAAAAAAAAAAAAAAAAGACAGATATCGAGCTACCTGTGGCTGTGGACATGGCTCAGTGAGCAAGTAAAGTGCCTGTCATGCAAGCTCGAGGACTTGGGTTCAAGACCAGCACCCACAGAAAAACTGAGCATGGTAGCACAAGAAAGGACAAGAGGCAAGCATATCTCTGTTGCTCACTGACCAGTCAGTCTAGCCACCTGGTGAGCTTCTGGTTCAGAGAGATACAAGGTGAAAGGGGAGAACTTTTTAAATCCATGCCCATTCACTGGAATACTACACAGCAACAAAAATGAACAGACACAGCTACATGCAACAAAACTGCATGAATTTTATGATGTTGAGCCAGACAAACTCCACATATCTGTACCCTTCTTCAGATAGAAGATAGAAGAAATGAGCAAGGGAATCCCAGCACCAAATGGACATAATTTAGTGGCAAATAAGACTTTGAAGCAGGAACATGATGCCTCTGAGAGTCAGGCTAATGTCACTTGTGACAGTCAGGAAAGGGGTGATGGTCAGAGAGACTTCTGGGCTCTGGTCATTGATCTGGACAGGTCACAGGACCCACATGCTGTAGCTGTCTCCCAGCTGTACATTAATGTCCTGTACACTGAGTCTGTATTATATTTTAAGGTAAGCAGTTACAAAGGGAAAGGGAGAAAATTATACCTGAATACAAGCCCTTTTGCGGGCCCTCAAAATGTCTTGACTGGACCTTAAGCTACCCAGGGGAACTCCAGGGAGTTAGCACCCTCATCACTCTGACCAGAAAGTGACAAGAGCACAGCAAGTCCTCTGGCCTTCAGGTTATTTAGATCTTCTCGGGCTCCCTCAGCAGGAGCCACGTGATCCTCTGGGGAAGGAATAGCTTGAGACACACATGGACTTCCTCCCTGGATCAGGGGTGGATACCTAATAGAAGCTCTCCCCGTAATGCAATGATGACAGACAGGCATTCAGGGTCAGCACAACAAAGGCTGCACCCAGGCAGTGGGGGCGACCTCAGAGAAGACAGGGTAAGATCATGTCTGCCTGCTCCCACCTCAAGTCTCCAGTTAACGCAATGCCACAAGGCCGTGTCAACTATACAGAGCCTCTTCGACGTTTTGCAGTGGTCTCTGTTCTCCTATAGGGCCCGCCTACACGGGTACATTCTCTCCTGGGAACAGACTCTCACTGAAGCCTTGGTTTCCTGGAGAAACATCATCACCTGACACCAAACCGCCAGGTTTTACTAACAAACCAGGATGTTGGCCATGACTACAGCTATGGCTTTTTCCAGGGAGTGGAAATGTTGGAAGGCCTCTTCCCTGGGGTGTTTGGTGGCACTCTCAAGACACCGTAGGAACTCCCCTCCCCAAGCTATGGCTCACAAAGCTGCCTTAAACTCACAGCTTCTTTGTTGATAGGACCAAAAGCCACAGCCGTGTTCTGGATCACGAGCCGAAGCCCCCACCCACCTCGGGTCCCAAAGGAAGCCTGGCCTCTGGGGTTCCAGAAGGCAGACTGTCGCACCCTGCTTTTCTCAGCTGTTGAGTCCCTAGAGGCCATGGAGAGCTTTGAGCTCCTGCCCATCAGCCCTCAGCAGCAGTGGTGCCTGGCCACACCCTCTACTGTCTGGCAGGATGTGTGGAGGGAGCCTCCTCTCCCCCAGGCTCACTTGTGCCTTCCCCAGAACCTACAAACACCCGGTCACAGGGAGGTACGAGACCTTTGTGGCTCTGCAGTGTCAGGTTGGGACGGCTGGTCCGCTATCTGTGGAACACAGTGAATTGGCGGCGGCAGCTGTCCCACGTGCATTGTGTAACCCTTCTGCGGGAGTGAAGCTCAGGGAAAGCTCTAACCTGAAGACTCCTCCCATCTTCTTGCTGTGAGCCGGAGCAATCAGAAAAGGGAAGTGACAGTAAGGGCTTTTTCTTCTACTTAAAAAAATACATTTATCTAGTTAACATGAGCATGTCACATGTGTGGGGGCCAGGGGGTGATTTCCAGATGTCAGTTCTCTCCTTCTATCATTGGGTCTTAGGTATTGAGCTTGGGTCATCAGGCTTGGTGGCAAGCACCTTTGCCCAATGCACCATCTCACCAGCCCAAAGTGCTTTGTATTAGCATGGTTTGCTCAAGAGCTGCCTGCTCACACGCACCTTCTGGGATGCCCTTCCATGACAGGAACAATGGCCATGTTACCTGCTCTTGGCTGCGAGCATCAAGGGACATGAAACACTGTCACTGGCAGGCCGTGCATGACCTTGATGCCTGGAGGACCGAATCATGTCAGCAGCACAGAGGGGAGTCAAGAGCAGCATCTGCACCTGCAGGGGATGCACGCTGGGCAGACCCCAGGGCTTAGCAGAGCACACACCATCTGATCAAATCACTTGGGAAAAGAAGGCGGAGACTGAACCCCTGCACCAGACCCACCAGGCACCACAGTCTTGTTCAAACCATTTCAGCAAGCCCATATTACAGACAAGAACACCAAGGCAGGGAAGGTCATGTTTAAGTTACCTTAAGCTAAGGCCACTTGCTCTTCAGCCTTAGAGTTGGGATCTATTCTTCCCCAGTTTTCTTCTGACAAAGGTGCATGGACTTAAGTACAACAATCACCCATGCATGACAGAAATGTTTTTCTAGTGGTCAAACCTTCTATACATTCCCACATGATCTGCACAACTTTTCAGAGTATGTGTGAACCTCACTAACACCCCCATTTTACAGAAAAGGGAAACTGAAGTTGGGGGGAATAAAAGATTTGCCCAGGGTATCAGAGACAACCTTGCCAAGAAAGTAGCAGCAGAAAGCGGCAGTTATTCCTGCTTTCTGCGGGTAAATCAGGGTGATTTCGCCAGACTCCTGGATTCTACTCACAGCCTACAGGAGGCAGGGTCAGAAGGCACACACAGGGCTTGCCTCTTTCACAGACACCGATTGGGAGAGGGAGGTTTTACACTGGTCCAGGAGACAGGCTTATAACAAAATGTCTGAAGTTGTGGACACTGGCTTTCCCCACTTACTCTATATGGGTCCTGAGGGGGCCTCAGAACAGATGCCCAGCACCAAGCTTCTCTGTGCATTTGCTTCAGAGCTGAGTAACTTCCCAGTCCTTTCTAAACCAGCACTCCACCCTAAGTGTTCCCAGCATTCTACAGACATCACCGGGATGGCTGCCACAGTGGGCCCTGGCTCCTCCTTAACCCAGGTGGCAGGCCCGGGCACAGTCCCTCCCCAACTCTAGTTCGTCCTCTGTGGGGCAGGACAACAGATACCAGTTCATGGTGTCTAGACAGCTCTGCCTCACAAACATGTAACAGCAGCTGTGGGGTTTATTCTGCTCCAGTAGCTGGAATAAAAGCTAGTATTTATTATGTATTTATTTGGGAGACAGCAGCTCACGAAGCCCTAGTTGGTCTCAGATTCCCTGTGTAGATGACAGAGACTCTGACCTTCCCATCCTCCTGCCTACAACTCCCCGAGTGCTGGGAATTACAGGTGTGTGCCACCACACCTGATATATGCAGTTTTGGGGATTATATCTCAGAGCCTCGTGGAGGCTGGACATGCACTCTACCAACTGAGCTACAGTCTCGCTAATGTTAATGACATATTTTATTTAGCCACACATACCCAAAACATCATGTGAAACCAAATATCTACATCATACTATATACTATATACAAAAAGTGAGTGAGTTCCCATGCTTTTGTTGCCCTGGTCTTCTAAATCCACCATTCCCAGCTAGCCACACATGTTCATCTTCCCAGCACTAATGGCTACCGTTCTGGAGAAGGCAGAATGGGTACCTCAGCACATACCAGAGGTTCTGTTGGATGATACCGCTGTCCTCCACTCAATCCAGGGTGCTTGGAAGGAGGCTGACACAGGTGGGGCTCCTCCCTGAATCCCCACAGGGGCAGACTTCTCTGACAGCTGGGGGTTGGCAGGAAATACCTGTTTGTCTGGCTGTGAGAAATCTTTCCCCTCTTGCTTCCTGGACTTGGGCAGGGCAGGGGGGTTTCCATGACATCTGCAGAGCCCAAAGAACTGTCTCTGGGGAGCTGAACCAACACCCAGGCCAGAACAAACTGAAGCCTGGGGGTTTCTGGTGAGGTGGGGATGGAAGGTGAAGGCTGACCCTCTGTCAGGACAAGCCCATGCCAACAGCTACAGTTGCAGGGGTGGGGGTGGGGGGTCACCATACCGGCAAGCCGTACAGTCATCAAGAAGAATGCCTCTCAAACTGCCACTCTAAGATGGGGTTTTTACCGAGGATACTGATTTCACTATTGCAATGTCAGGGGTTACAACAGAATATCCCTGCACTATGCGAAGCAGTGAGAACCGCTCTCCAAAGTGGCGCTAATTTGCCCAAGACAGCTCAGCTAGCAAGGGGCACAGGTCACAGTGAACAAGGCTCACCGTACTCCAGGCCCCAAACTTACTATATTGGTGGAGAGGGATCTTAACGTTGAAAAGTATCTTTTACTCCTTGGTCAGAGCGCTCTGCATCCGCCAGCACACACCATGTCAGGGACGAAGCACGAACACAGAGGGGACACAGTTTGGTTTGGGGGAGAGCCATGAGCCAATGACTCTTCACAGAGCTACACTTATCATTCATGTACCCTTTAAAAATTAATTTCATGTGTCTGAGTGTTTACCTACATATAGATAAGTATGGCTTCATGCTAGTGCCTGTGGAGGCCAGAAGAAGACATCAGATCCTCTGGGACTGGAGTTACAGTTGTGAGTCACACTGTGGGTGCTGGGAACCAGGTCCTCCTCGAGAGCAGCAACTGCTCGCAACCACTGTGATTTCTCTCCAGCTCCTATGATGGAGCCTTTAAAATAATTCTCAAAATAGCGTTTATTTATTGATTGTGTGTGCGTCTGTGCACTGTGTGCATACTCACATACCATGTATATGTGGAGGTCAAAGGGTCAGCAGACAACCTGTGGGAGTCAGCTTTCTCCTTCCTCTTTGTGAGGCCCCGCTGTCTGGCTGCCGGCACCTCCACCCACTGAACCACCTTGCCAGCCCCAGTGCAGTCTTTTTTAGAGGCTACTATCTTCTAAAAAAGAAAGCAAGTGGAGGGGCTGGAGAGATGGCTCAGAGGTTAAGAGCACTGACTGCTCTTCCAGAGGCCCTGAGTTCAATTCCCAGCAACCACATGGTGGCTCACAACCATCTATAATGAGATCTTGTGCCCCCTCTTCTGGCGTGTAGGCATGCATGCAGACAGAACACTGTATATGTAATAAAAACAAGTAAATAAATTTAAAGAAAAAAGAAAAGAAAGCAAATGAAAAGTGCCAAGACGACCAGCTATGCAGGTAACTGTACTGCTCACCCCCCACCCAACCGAGATCTGGAAGCCAGATTTATCTGGAGCTGGCAAGATGCTTCAAGCACAATTAGAAACGCATTCATGCAGGGCTTTGGTAGCTCACGTTTTTAATCTCAGCACTCCGGAGGCGGAGGCAGGTGAATCTCTGTGAGTTTGAGACCAACTCTGATCTACAGAGCGAGTTCCAGGACAGCCTCCAAAACCACAGAGAAGCCCTGTCTCGGGAAAAGAAAAAAGAAAAAGAAATAAAGAAACACATTCATTATATCAAAGAAGCAGGAGCAGGTAAGGCTGATGCCATCCTCTGGTGACACCAACACCTGGCACACAAGGGAGAAACACAGAAAACTGAACCACCACTATGTGTATGTATGTTCAGCACTAATACACTAACTCATTCAGCCACAGGACAAACCCTACTGAGGCAGTCTCCAGTCTCAGACTCACTTTACTGATAGGGCAACCGAATCACAGAGAACTTAATAATTTGCTCAAGATCACACAGTCAGGGAGTGGCAGGCTGGGATTCAAAGGCACTCAGGCTCCAAAGCTCCCAGCCTTCTTTTTACTGTCTGACCATGACAATAATGAACGTCTGGGGCCTGTATCCCAGTGAGTCACCCGCTGAGGCAGAAGCCACTGGCACCTTCCTGGATGAAGAACCAATTGCTCCCGGACTAATGGGGATGGTGCTGGGGGCAGAGGCAGACCTGGCGGTGCTGGGGAAAGGCACCAGGCTGGGCAAGCGGGCCGCTATAGCGCCTGCATCCAGTTTACACTAGCCTCTGAGGTAAGAAGCATGAAGAACAGAAGACCAAGCAGGCGCCCCTCCCTACCAGCCCCACACAATCAAAGGGCCAATCCCACTGCACTGTGTTCTTGGCACATTCCTGCTCACAGCCAGCAGGCACCCTAGGGAAGGTGCTAACCAAGCTGTCCCCAAGCTCTTGTCCAGTCGCCCTCTAGGCAAGTGTTCTTTAAGGACCTGAACTGAGTAGCTAGAATGAATATGCCACTCTTTCCTTCTGTCATGTCAGCATAGCTGTCTCTGACTTTACCCCTACCCCGCATGCTGACTTCAGCAGGAGGCAAGTAGAGACTGCTCCCTGATTGTGCCCCTTTTATAGATGGGAACACTGAGGCTGACAGGAGCATGAGTCAGGCTGACTTTATTCTGCAGAGCTCAGAACCAGGCTGGCTCAGTCGATGCCACGGTAAGCCTGCTCCTGGCACTCAATGGTCATACCTGAGCCTCTGTGGGAGATGAGCAGAATGAAGAGCCCTCAGTACATTGCCTGCACAGCAACACCCCTCCCAAGCATGCTGCTCAGCAATGGGCAAGCTTGCTCAGGCCAAGACAGAAGTCAGTGGCCCCTCTCAAGGCCTGTGGACGGGGCACACCTTATCTTCGGTACTCTCTTGAGTCTCTGGGGACCAGGGTGCTTGCTGCAAATCAGAGGAAAGTAAAAGACGCCTAGCCCTCCGCTCTTCTCCCTGCTCTGGGCCATCTGAGTTGGTGGCCACTCCTCAAGCTGGTTCTATGTTCCTGCAGCCACACCCCACCATGGCAACACTCAGATTCTACACTCAACAAACATTACCCAGGCATGCTGTGGGAGGCCCTGGGAAGGCAAAGATAAACTTTGCCCTCAAACACTCACGGCAGCAACTGATCTAAAGCGACTCACTGACAGTGGTACAAACTCACACAGGAGCAGACCAGGCACGGCTGCTGGACCCCAGGAGAAACACCACCAGCGGTTAAGTAAACCATTCTTCTATAAAACAACCTGCTGGCATCCCTGGGCTTCCCTTGGGGACCGGCACGGCATCTTCACTACAGAAGCAATTGGTCAGTACTGTGGGCTGGCATTTCACCCTCGGCTGGTAGACAACCAGTTACTCAACCCAAATCTCAACTTCATATCCCTGTGCCACGTGGCGCACATTAGTCAGGACCAGATAGGCTCTGCAATATAACAGCCATCCCCCAGACATCAATGTTTTGACAAAGGTACACATGACATTCTTACCTGTGTCCAATGTGAGCCTGTGTGATGCTCTACTCAGACCTTCCCAGACCAGGCAGATGGGATCCACTGAGGGAAGGACTGTAGCAAATTACAGGAGCTCTTAGGAGTTCACCCTGAGGGCCATGTTACTTCCAGCTAACAACTCACTGGCTAATGACAGTCACGTGTCTATACCTACCACGTGGAAGGCAGAAAACCACAATCCCACCATGAGCTCACTCAGTAGAAAGAACCAGAAGCAGCTGGTGACAGAAGTACAGAGACCCAGACAGTTCATGGTACAGCACTAGGTGAAATGTTAAAGATAGTCATTTATTCTGGGGGGGCTTTTGCTTTGCTGAGACTGCATAGTATATGTCTAAGTTGGCTTTGAACCTGTAATCCCAGTGAGGACGGTGCAATCCTCCCATTTCAGCATCCCAAATGTTAGGATTAAAGGTGTGAGGCGAGACACATAGCTTGATTGATATTGCTTGTGACAGGAGTCTGTCCTGACCCTGCAGGGTATTAATCAGCATCCCTGGCTTGCAGTCAGCAGTCACCCTCCTCCAAATTATGACAAGCAAAAATGCACTGGGTGGGGGTGTCAGACAACTGCTGTTTTAGATGATGTCTTTCGAAGAAGACAGAGAGAATGATGACATCATCTTTCTCCCACAAGATTCTTACTCAAGTTTCTCTTTACTGATGACTCGGAGGTTCAGATCAGCTGACATGGTAAATGGCTTGGCACAGGGCTGGGGCACTGTGGAGGACTCCATGGTTGCACTGCAGTTCTGTAATGTAATGGCTGCATTACAATTCTGCTGCTGGCACTGTGTCTGGAGTGAGAAGAGGTGGGGATTTCTGTTCTCAGGGAACCAGTAGAGCCCAAGGTCATCCTTTGATGGGTGGGAATCTAAGGCTGGAAGGCTAGTGGGGAACTGTTGCCATGTGTTCCAATGATTAAAGTAGAATCAACATCTGGGTAGTGATTCTGCCAGCTGAGAATGCAGGTCCAGGAATGTGCTAATGCTCCCATGTGGGCAAGCATGGAGAGACAAACAAGTATCTGCCCAGGGAAGGGCTCTCAACTAGGCACTCAGTCACGCACAATCCTACACGGATCGTCTGTGAGGCTGCATGTGACCAGAAAACACCCTCCTTCCCCAAGCACCCCATTCGCTTACCTCTCCCCAACAAGACACTCTGATGAATATATTATAATATCTCTTTGGCTAACTCCAGAATCAGCAGACGTGGTTTCAAATTCCACCTCTGCCATGTTCTAACTATGTGGCTTTGGCCAAGCACTCAACTTCAAAGCCTCCCTGCACTTGTCTGGTCTGCACCCTGCATTAAGACATCAGTCCAGCCGGGCGTTGGTGGCGCACGCCTTTAATCCCAGCACTCGGGAGGCAGAGGCAGGCGGATCTCTGTGAGTTCAAGGCCAGCCTGGTCTACAAAGCTAGTT